CATTACAATATTTTTTATTTAAAAAACGATCAAGTTTCCGAAAAAACGCTTAAACACGTATATTTTATTTTGTTTTTTTACATATTATAAGATTTTTTAAAAATGTATACAGGGTATTTCGAAAAATCTGGTCATTGATTAATCACGATCCTGTTTAAAGCGCTTGACGTAAAAAGCTGATTTTTGGAAAACAGATTGACTTTAGGGTGTAGAGGTCGGATAAGAAGGGATTTTTTGAAACTCGAATTCTAAGGGGGTGAAACTATCCCTCAAATATTTAAATATTTTTTATTTAAAAACCGGTGAGTTTTTCGGAAAAACTCTTATACAACACCAGATATTTTATTTTGTTGTTTTACATATTTTAAGATTTTTTATAAATTTATACAGGGTGTTTCATAAAATATGACCATTGAGTAATCACGATTCTGCTTAAACCGCTTGACGTTTAAAGCTGATTTTTGGCAAACCGATTGATTGTGGGTTGTAGATAAGGAGGGGTTTCTCTAATCTCAAATTCCAAGAGGGTGAAAACGCTCCTCAAATATTACAATATTTGTTATTTATAAAACGCTTAGTCTTTCGGGAAAACGCTTGGACAAGCATAATTTATTTGTTTTTTTTACATATTTTGAATTTTTTTAAAATATCATACAGGGTGTTCCAAAAAGTTGGGTAATTTCTTAACCACGATTCTGCTTAAACTGCTTGACGTAAAAAGCTTATTTTTGGCAAACGGATTTTTTGAAAGTCAAATTCCAACGAGATGAAACTATCCCTCAAATATTACCAGGTTATATAATAATATCGCCATATTGTTTTTTCTCATGCTGACATAAATGTGAGAAAATTTTATCCAGTTTTTATGTTAATGGCAATTCTTGCTTTGCTTTATCATCACCATTACAAATGATCAATTGTCGCGAGATTTCTCTACATCGATAAACAAGTAAATTAACTAAACCTGTGTCTACCCTGTCTCATTTTCAAAGTTTGTGTTATGATAGACCACTAGACCAGGAATTACAAGATGAAGTTGTCGTACCAGATTTTTATGAGTGCCGAGTGCAACTGTACACTCAAATCTCGCGACAAGCTTTTATACCGTATGATCGAGAAAAAACGGCATCAGCGATGGCTATGGAATGAAGATCGCTGTCATTCTATATGTAAATTTATATGGGAAATGTCATTGATGTTCATTTTCCAGCGAACTGGACGCCGTTTTTTTTCGATCATACGGTATAATATTTTTAAAATTGTGTAATAACGTTATAAGTTCATAATAAAAGTTTTAAAGAATTTTTTTTTCTTTTTAGTCTATTTAAATAAACGCTTGTTTTTAAAAAAGTTTTTTTTCTAAAATTTATTTTACAAGTTTATCTATATTTTTGATGGGATATTATTTATGTCGCTTAAATATACAGGGTGGTCCGAGGGATATTATTTATGTCGCTTAAATATACAGGGTGGTCTGAACTGTATTCCGGAAACTTCAGCAGCATATTCTGCAAATAAAAATAAGTAAAAAAGTTTGTATCTTTGGTATAGATGTATGTCCTAAAATGCTTAGTTTCGGAGATACGGGGTGTAGAATTTTCATTTTTATTTCTATTTTTTTGAATAATTTCTGAAGTAATATCAATATTAGGATGAAAATTGGTGTGTAGGAGTTTTTGACATGAGAAATTTGATTTTGATGTCAATATGACTCGTTGCGACGTTTTTTACGTAAAAAAGGTATCTTGGTAAAAATCGCTACTAGTAATGGTTCTCGAGATATTTGGAATAAAAATTATCAATACCTGTCAACATTGACATAAATTAAACAGGTTAACTAAATAGTTATTAGACTGAAATCATAAATTTAAAATGGTTTTATGCTAAAAGTTCAACAGAAACTGTTTTATCATCATTTTTTCGAAGAAATATTTTTGATTAATTTGAATAAATAAAAATTTCCCAAATTTATTATTTCAGTCAAATAACTATATATCCAACGTGTTAATTTTTTGTCAATAATGACATGTATTGCTTATTTCCATTCTAAATATGTTGAGAACGGTCTTGTGCGATTTTTACCAAGAGATTTTTACGTAAAAAGTCACGGAAATGTATATTTTTTCACTCAGTAGTTTTATACAGGTACGGACAAAAAGTTTTTACTCTTCAAAACAGTTAGAACACATGTAGGTGGCGCCCCCTACAAATAGGAGTCGTATATGACATCGAAATCAAATTTCTTATGTTTAAAAACTCCCAGACACCAATTTTTATCCAAATATTGACGTTACTTCCGAAATTATTTGAAAAAAAAACGAAACAAAAATGAACCTTCTACACCCTGTGTAGTAAAGCATTTTAGGACATACATTTATACGAACTTTTTTACTTATTTTTACCTGCAGAATATGCTGGTATATCTATTCCTAACAGTTTTTTTAATTAAGTTACTTGCTTAACATTAATCGTTAATTAATTGTCATTAAGAAACGAACAAACAATAAATACCAAATACAAACAACCAAAAATAAGCCAAATAGGACAAATGCCGCGATGCAGCTGATCATCATTTATTTTCGTTTAAGTTGGTCATTATGTATGCAACAGAAATATTCCAATAAATATTGCTGGCTGTAAAGCGAACTGCAACTTAAATACGCAAGTAAAATTGCTGTAACTTCTCTTTCATGCAAGTAAAAAGAGGAACTGTAAAGCGGCCTTTGGTCTTTTTATTCAAAGTGCCGGAATCTTTGCAGATTCCCTCGTAATATTAAAAATACCAGCAAGGTCATAGTAGATATCAATAGAGCTCAAAATAGTTTATCAATTATTATTTTTTATTTCTAATTATTTCTTATCAGTTTATCGAAATCTAATAAATTAGATAAATATAGCATTCCAAAGTTTTATATATTATGTTCTTGAAATACTTACTTTGTATATTTTTTTTGTTTATTCAATATTTTATTTTTATTATTTTTGAATAGCAAGGGGAAAATAAACCACTTGAAATATTAAAGGATTTCTGATTTCTGTCAGACCAATTTTTATTGAAAAAAATATTAAATATATGTTTTTTGACACTTCTTCTTCATACAAAATTTCTTTAACATTTTATAGTTAGTTATAGTCGAGGTTATAGTGCTTCTATGATAAAACTCATAATATCACATTATACAGGCGATTATAAGAATTATAATTATTATAATACCGTATAATAAAAAATCGGCGTCCAATTGGCTTGGAAATTACGCGATCGATGACATCCCCCATATAATTCGCCAAATAAAATGACAGTGAGCCTCATTTCATTGCCAACAAGCATAATTGGAGAAATCTATTTAAACCCCATTCGCACATTTTAAAAAGTTCAAAGAATATGTAGCTGGTGTATAATTCTTCCATAAAATTTCATAATTATATAGTTTATCGTATTTCATTTTTAATATAAAAATTATATTTTTTAACAGTATTTGTTCGCCATCTTTGTATTGCAATACCTCCCTCATGGTTGACTTTTGACTAAACGTTTAAGCTTCATTTAGAACTTCGCAATCAGTGGAATAAATTAGTGGTTTCAATTACACTTTATATTTTTGAGTTTACGATCAGGGACGGGCGCGTTCAGGGACGGTCAGCGGCTGAGTGGCTGAGTAAGCGGTTTCCCTAAACGGTCACTTTTTACACGCAAAAACAGTCAGCCGCTGAGCAAAATACTCAGCGATCGGTCAGCCGCTGTGTTCCCTGAACGCGCACAATGTTTAAAAAACACAATTAAAATTAACATAATATCCTAGAAAGAGCTTGCGTTAGTTAGTTGTATCCATAGAGACAGCCTAATATTTAGCTAATAAAACTATCAACTTGTGATTTCTAAACACAATTTCTCTTGACGGAAGATAATCAAAGGCCAAAATGACATTTCTCGCAAATTTTGAAGTATAATTAGTGGAAAAATTTAAAGGTTTGTTCTCACAGCGTGTTCCCAACATGTTTGCGACTTCTTCCAAACCGGTGTTAATGCGCAGGTCTCAAATAATGCAGTTTCTTATCGATTTCAAACTGTCTGTGCGAACAGCGAATCCCCTACTCTTCTTTTTTGATCTAATAATACCACTAATTTTAACTCCTACGTAATACCGAATAAAGAAGAAAACGAACAGGGAATTAACCAAAGACATCTTTTAATGTTTTTGGTTTTGTTCTTTTTACTGTTTTAATGTTTTGTAATTTTGATTCTTGGGTCTGATCCGTTCCTCCATCAGCTCTTCTAGGTCTGTGTCTGTATCCGAAAATTCGGACGCCTCAGATTCTTCGGAAGATTCAAAATCGCTCATTTCTTTTCTTTATATTTTGAAGAAAAAAAAACACTAAACAAAAACAACACACGTTTTGTATGCCAAGTTTACCAATATTAATGACGTCCGGTCGCAATACGCATGCGCCGGACACTTTACTTGCAAAAGATTCGCGAACAGGTCTGACTGTCAGCTAACAATCAGAATTTTCTGTGCGAACAGCGTACTGTTGGTTGGTTGGAAACCGATCAAAAATTTCTGTGCGAACGCGTTTTACCCTATTGCGCATGATTATCTGTTGGAAATATGTTTCTTACAGCTGTGAGAACAAACCTTAAGGCTTCATTCAGAACCTCGCAATTAGTGGAATAAATTAGTGGTTTCAATTAGCCTAGAAGTTTGTTCCTTTAATTTCAATGTAAGCATCAAAATTAATAGTAGACATTTTCAATTAGTAGAAAAAGTTATCAAACTTTTAACTTTTCCACTAATTATACTTCAAAATTTGCGAGAAGTGTAATTTTGGTCCTGGATTATCTTCCGTCAAGAGAAATTGTGGTTCGAAATCAAAAGTTGATTGTTTTATAAGTTAAATATTAGTCCAAAAAAATCCTCTGTGGGTATTTCGCCACTGCAAGAAAATCTAAAAAAATAAAATAGATATTTTTTTGTATAAGTAAACTATTTCTTCTGTACCAGATATGACGAAGAAAAGGAAGCTATGGATGATTTGGAGGATAAATTAGAGGATCAAGAAATATTATATAATAGGCTTATGAGAGAAAAGGGTGAAGAAGAGCAAAGAATATATTTGGAGATAGCGTTTAAGATATTGATGAATCGTTCAGCTAGAATCATCCAAAGGGCTTGGAGAGCATACAGGGCAAGGAAATTAGCGAAGAGGAAAGGAAAGAAGGGCATGTATCAAAAAATTTTGTATATCGTCAGTGAAACGCTCGGCAAAACGTGATAACCTGCTAACTCCATTTTTTACGTTAATAAGTTTTTTTTATACCATTAGAAAGAGAAAAAAAAATCTAAAAGTATGGAAAGCAAATATTTTTTTTACAATTAAAGAAAATTTGCTATTTTAACTCAATAATATCTGCTAACTCCCAGTGATCTGAAATAGCCACCGAAATGCTGCTATCTCCGTAATTTCCGTTACGATCACGCTAAAGCAAACACACGGATTCTTACTCGTATATTTCTTTAGTACAGTACGTCGATCCAGGGTCGCACTAGGCCAAAGGGGTCCGGGTGGAAATGTAAGGAAGGGCCCGTGTAGAATTTTTTGCGTATTTTTTCGCCTTACGTTTTGGTCAATTTTCCCTATTCTATACAGGGTGAGTCTTAAATAAGTACAAATATTTTTAGGGGTATTATATTTCGATCCACGAAACACGATTTGAGTGAGGTTTTTTTGCGCGAAATTTTCTTTTTGAAAATTTGAATTTTTTTAAAAAAAAAATTTGGAATTTCTTTTAATTTTTAGTTTAAAAACATACTTTGTTGGTAATATGGCGACATAGGTAGTAGATTAAATTTACAAGAAAGAAAATCCAGTGATTCTCAAAATTTTAACAAAAAGTTGGAAATTGTAAAAGTGAAATAACTCGGTTGGTTTTGGATTTATTTGAAAAAACGGTAAAGAGATAATATATTATGTTTCTTTTATCGAGATTTACCAGCCCTAAAAATATTTGCACTTATTTAAGACTCACCCTGTATCGAAATCAGGGAACTACCCTAATGCAAGGTAAACCAATGCAATGCAAATGCAAATATTGTTAAGAATAAATAATGAACTATAAAGATAGTTATATATATATATATAGATATATATATATATATATATATATATATATATATATATATATATATATATATATATATATATATATATATATAGAATATGGCCAGTCCCAGTGGCGTATATATAGGGGGCCATGGGGCCTGGGCCCCCCCTATGATCTAGAAATTCGTTTAAATATTAGACTTTTGGGTTAAAAATGGCGCCCTAAAAAGCACATTCTACATTACTTTTTATTTGGGTCCCCCCTAAAATAAATTTCTATATCCGCCCCTGGCCAGTCCGACCCTGCGTCCATTAGTTCTGTAAATACGGTAAAGGGTAAGGGGAAAAACGAAATTCTCTATATACGAGCAATTCATCGGCGTGCTATAAATATTTTAAATAACATTACTTACTTGTTCAAGAATTTCAAATATAATGACCCCACTGTTTTCCAAGCTAGGTCTACTACCGTTGTAAACAGTGGCGTAACTATCGATGTGCCGTGTGTGCGAAGCACACGGGCCCGGGCCCTCGGGGAAAGCCCCTTCTGAAGAATCAAGAAGTTTTTACGACTTGATTCAAAGTGTATATGTATTTTTTGGGCATAGTATAAAACGATTGGGCGTAGTATAAAACTCCTACTCGTTGGTCATCAAGGCATGATGCGCTAGAAGCTCTTCGTTTTAAGTATGTAGATGTTTTAAAAGCTCTTTCAAAAATCATTTTAATTTCTACTAATAAACCTGAAGCTAATGAGGCAACAGCATTAAAAAATCAGTAAGACAAATTTAAAACCGTATTTTTAATTATTTTTCAAACAAAAATTTAAAAAAATATTGACGTTGTTTCTAAGCTATTGCAAAACAGCAAAATATTGAGGCGGTGTTATATGAAAACATAAAAAAAATGCATGATGATTTTAATTTCGTTATGGCAGAAGCTATTGATCTAGCGAAGCAATGGGGTACAACAACTCAATTTGTAATGAAAAGGATGTCTCACCCAAAAATATTCTTTGACGAAATTAATAACCATAATCAAATTCAAACAAGCGAAGATTGGTTTAAAATAAACTTATTTTTTAAAAGCTTGGAGCTGAAATAAAATCTCGAAGTACCGGACTCAATGAAGTTTATTTGAATTTTCGCGCAATTTCGCCTGTTTCTGATGAGAATATATATGAAATGGGTCAGGTTCTATACCTTAAATAGCCCGATGATATTGCCGATACGATTTCTTCTCAATTACTCTCCTTCAGGCAATGTTTCCGAAATAATTTATATGAAATCAATTGCATTTTTGAACTCACTGAATTTATTTTAATTAAAAACCTTTCATCGTCTTCTAGTTTCAGCGAGATTTTAACAGCGTGTCATATTTTTCTCACCATACCTGTTTCTGTGGCCTCGGCTGAAAGATCTTTTTCCAAATTAAAGCTTGTCAAAAATTATTTAAGAAATACTATTTTCAGCTTTGGCAATTATTTCAATAGAAAATGAAGTTGCTCGTACAATAAATATTGGTAATATTGTGTTAACTTTCGCCAATGCTAAAGCAAGGAAATGTTCATGTTCTTATTTACATTGTTTATTTTAATTTAGTTAGTTTTGTTTAGGTGTTCTTTTTTGTTTTGTTTGTATTATTTTTTTATTTATTTGATATTTTATGTTTTGGGTTACATATTCTGTGGTGCAATAATAAATAATATTATATAAAAATTAATTTGATAATGTTATTTCTAACCTAAAATATGAGTGCATATTATTCAGATTAGTATATATATATAAGTATTGAAATATGTAGGTGTAATAGGGGGCCCGGTAAAATTTTTGCACACAGGCCCGTGAGTCTGTTGTTACGCCACTGGTTGTAAAAAAAATAGGATAAGCATCCCGTCAATAAAAATTCTACAAATTTGAAAGTGGCCAATGCAATATCATTTAACTAGATTTCTTTCAGAATATACAGCTGTATATTCTGGAAGGATTCTACCATAACTTCCAAGAAATATAAGTTTAATTTTTAAATTATTTTCATATTCATTAAGTCCAAAATGGTGCTACTTTATTTCTTTAAAAATGCATTAAAAATTTATTAGTTTCTAGACCGACGATATTATAAATATATGGTTATGAATATCATATTTTTTAAATTTAATTGATTATTTGTAAATATGTTTGGGTAATATTCAATTCCATTTGAAAATTTCAAACAATGAAGGTTGCTATCTCCAGATATATATTTATATTTCTTATTTCTGGAAGACGAATATCTGCTATCTCCCTATTTTGTCTGAAAAAAATAAAGCCAACACGAAATATGGAGTTTTATTGTTCCCTAACAAATAATATTTTGATCTCTTTATCATATTAACGCATGAATATCCTTTCTACATGTGTACATATTTTTTGTACCGTTTTTTTGCTCACCTGTAAAATTAGGAATAATGGAGTTAGCAGTTTATCACATTTCACCGACGATATATCTTTCCTAAAACTTACAATTTTTTTGTTACTGATGTTCTGATGTTACTAATACAGGGTGTCCCAAGCTAAGCGTGCAATAGAAGTTTCTAGAGAACTACAATATCTAGAGCGGACATTTTTTGCACATCAGTGTTTCGCAGCGAGATCTATAGATTAAAAATATTTTGAATATGGCAACACTTCTGTAAATACCGGAAGTAGACAGCAACTTTCTTATTTTATATGGATACCCTCATTTTTTATTACATACTCCAATTTTGATATTAAACACTCTATATCTAACATTAACCGTTTTTGAGAAACAAAGTATTTCAAATTGTTGTAGGAAAAAAACTGCCTGCCTAAAAAAAATTGTATAGCCATGTAGCTGTCATGGAATTGAGCGATTAAAAAATTATCATAAATATTTTTTTCAAATAGAAACCTACTTTTTTTATTTCCCCAATGAAAAGGTTTTTCAATTTGGTCCTTCTAGTATTTACTACATTTTTTGTCTCTTGTAAAAAAAACCACCGCGCATACTTTTGAAGAAAATAATTAGGTTTCCAGAGCTGACTTTCAAAAAATGTTTTTTTTTCATATCAAGCTATGGAGGCGCATACAATTTATTATGTTCTAATAATCTAGTTGAAAAATATATGGCTTTTATAAGGCTTTTATGTTAGTATCATAATAATATATTATTTTACGAAAAAAAAATCGAGTTGGAAAATATTTATACTCAAAACTTATACAGGGTGAGTCTTAAATAAGTGCAAATATTTTCAGAGGTGGTATATTTCGACCCGAGGAACACGTCTATGAGGTTTTTTCACAAAAAAAGATGTTGAAAATCGTGCATTTTCTTTTAAATTTCCTTGTATATTTTTCGAAAACTTTTTAGAACTGCCTGTTCACTAATTTTCCCACGGTATAATTTCTTAATCTCTGATATTACCATAGTTACAGCTTTACTCTATGGTTACGGTACTAAAAGGGATGCAAATACAGAAAAAAACCGGTGGCTCTCAAAATTTTTCCAAAAAAATATTTTTTTTTTAAATTTTCAAACTTAAATAACTCGGTTATTTTGGACTTATTTGAAAAATGGTAAAGAGAAAATATGTTTCTTTCATCGAGATGTACCAATCCTGAAAATGTTTGCACCTATTTAAGAGTCACCCTGTATAGGGGTGGGCTTTGAATAAGAAGACTAAGGAAGAAGCATAATGCTATCCATGTATTCATGCATGGTTGGCGGAAAAAGCTCTCTAGGGTGGGGATCCTTGACAGTTCTGTTTGACGATTCATTTGACACATTTGAATTTGATTTGAAATTTTGTGGATTTGTCAGTCTTTACGGAGCTTATTTTATGTTATTTATTATTTATTCTACCACTGATAGTTGTATAAAGGTAGTAAATCTAGATGGAAATTGTGGCAGAACTTAAATTAACAGTGACATTATCGCGATTTATCGAAAAAGACTCTAAAATAGTTGGTTGTGTAGCGTGCGGTAGATCTCGGCAAAAATTGAGTGAAATAATGGAACAACTTTTCGCTAGTAAGTGACTATATAATATACATACGTGTAGTAAACCGATCATTTGTGAAATTCACTTAAATTAACTAAATTATATATTTTCTTGCATTTTAGCTTTTATTTACTACTTGTCAAAGATCAGATGTCAAAGAATTTTGATACGTTAATTTGACTTACCTGCTTCAGTAGCGTATCGGATGTTTGTGTTAATAAATACTTATTATAACTTATCTATTTTTATTAGAATTATATATTTTTGTAACAATTTTAATAATTACCAACATTTATTCACAACGTAAAATAAAATAACAAATTATTGAGTCTACCCCACGTCTACCCTACATCATAGTTTTACATTTTTTTAAATAAAATTAGAACGGCACTGATAAACCGAAATTTAAGTCGGCCATATTTGAGGCCCATCGCGGTGTATCTAAGATTTTTGATATGCTCCTTCCTTAGTCTTCTTATTCAAAGGGGGTGGGGTAATTTTCACCCTTCCCGTATTTTTCTTTTTTTTTCGTTTTTTTCTTTGATTTTTGTGGAAGTGAAATGTTAAAGCACTTAGCAAAACATAAACCCACAAAATCTCATTCCAATCGGAATAACGGTTCTTAACATATCTGAAAAAATTTGATTATTTTTTTAATGTTTGGTGCCTTCTAGAGGACAAATGAAGCACTTTTGTATAGAGGTAAATTGTGTCCATTGAACTTATTTTGATTCCAGAAATACTTAGAGTAGTGTCCACGGAATATTGAAACACCCTGTACAGGGTGAGTCTGAAATAAGTGCAAATATTTTCAGGGGTGGTATTATATTTCGACCCCAGGAACACGTCTATGAAGTTATTTTCGCAAAAAAAAGATATTGAAAATCGTGAATTTTCACTAGTAATACCACTAGAGGTCAAATTATTTCCGAAAATTTTTTCGAGCTCATGAGTATTTTGAAAATTAAAATACTAATATTATTAGTCTTACTAATAAATGATTTTCTAAAAATATTCGTGGAGCGAGAAAAAATGTCCGGATTTAATTTGACCTCGTGTGGTATTCGGTAAGAAAATTCCTCACCAAATTGTGTTTGTAAATCAAATAATTAAAATGTATTTTTCGATTTTTGGTCGAATTGATTATTTAGTTACTATGACAACTAAGTGACACCCAAACCTAAAAACTATTTCAGTTTTGAAGCTGTCAAGCGGCACGGCTTAAAACAAATGTTTTGCTTCGGTCATGAAAGCAAAGAAAATATTCGCCAGGAGATTAAGCAGTTGACACCCGCAAATACTAGGGAATCGAAGTCAAGCGTACGGAAACAGTTTACAAACTCATCTCAGCTTTGTAATTGAAATGTATCAAAATTATCATGTAAACAAATAAAAACCAGACTCTCAAAAAGATATTCTGTCATTATAAACGTCAAAAAACTTCCAGTATAATTCGCTGTTGGGTGCCCACAAGGAAAAAATTTTCACTAAAATTTATCCGTGTCCATGGTGATTTGTCAAAAAAATGTGTTTTGATTGGTTAAAAATTACAGGTGTGGAATTTTCTTTTAAATTTCCCTATACATTTTTCGAAAACTTTTTAGAACTGTCTGTTCAGCGTAAATTTTCCCACGGTTTAATTTCTTAATCTCTGATATTACCATAGTTACGGCTTTACTCTATGGTTACGGCACAAAAAAGGAGGCAAATACAGAAAAAATCCGGTGGCTCTCAAAATTTTTTCAGATAATATATAAAAATATATATATTTTTTTAATTTTCAAACTTGAATAACTTTGTTATTTTGGACTTATCTGAAAAATGGTTTCTTGAAAGAGAAAATATGTTTCTTTTATCGAGATCTACCAGCCCTGAAAATATTTGCACTTATTTAAGACTCACCCTGGATATTTATAGTATCAAATGTAAATTAAGTCAACCCCATCTCAACAAATATTTATTTTTATTTTATTAACTTGCTGAAAGATTAATTAATCGAAAATATTTCTTTGTTTTTAGGTAAAAAAGGAAAGGACGGTAAGAAGGGACAAGGAAAAAAGTAAAATCTAAGAATCATACCCTTAATTTTTCTGTTTTATTTCAGCCAAACACCAAAAACGTAAATTTCTAAATTTATATTTACATTACTTATCTAAGCTTAAATATATTTTAGTATAGACTAACACAATACATAATCATAATAATTATCATTATAATAGTTAAGTCTAATTTTATATTATCTAAGTCATCCAAATTACGAATTTTGATTTTCTATCTTTGTACATTTATATAGCAAAATTAACAGTAACAAGAAAGGAAGATCCAAATGCTGCATTAGAAGGGAAATTTAAAGGCAAGGTTTTTGAAGAAATGGAAAATCCTAATGCCTTTTAATTTTTAGAAAATTGTATACAAAAAATATATGTTTACTTAAATTATATCTACATATATCTAATCTTGATCAGAAAATTAATAAAAAGAAATAATGTAATATGTATTACTTAGTTTATATTAAATAGTAATAAAACTACGAAAATTTCTGATATACAGAGGGGTTAAATTAAAAACGTAAAAATAATGTATATTTATTTTATTTAGATTTTTTCCAAATAATTTCTGAACTAATATCGATATTTGGATGGAAATTGATATCTGGGGCGCTATTCTGTACAATCGTCGGTATCGGCAAGTTACCGACAGCTATCGGTACGTACGGCCAATGAGCGTCGTGTTGATTGTTGTTGTCATACTTACCGATCGGCCCTATGACAGATATCTCAAATTTGTACCGACGACTCTCGGTATCTCTACCGTGAGGTTGACAAGGGCACGGTAGAGATACCGATTTTCGTCGGTACAAATTTGCGATATCTGCCATAGGACCGATCGGTAACTATGGCAACAACAATTAACACATTTTTACTATATACACTATGGCAACAACAATTAACACATTTTTACTATATACAAATACGTATCGAGAGCTGTCGTAACTTACCGATACCGACGATTTTACAGAATAGCGCCCCTGGGGCGCTATTCTATACAATAATCGGTATCGGCAAGTTACCGACAGCTATCGGTACGTACGGCCAATGAGCGTCGTGTTGATTGTTGTTGTCATAGTTACCGATCGGCCCTATGACAGATATCTCAAATTTGTACCGACGACTCTCGGTATCTCTACCGTGAGGTTGACAAGGGCACGGTAGAGATACCGATTTTCGTCGGTACAAATTTGCGATATCTGTCATAGGGCCGATCGGTAACTATGGCAACAACAATTAACACATTTTTACTATATACAAATACGTATCGAGAGCTGTCGTAACTTACCGATACCGACGATTTTACAGAATAGCGCCCCTGGGGCGCTATTCTGTACAATAATCGGTATCGGCAAGTTACCGACAGCTATCGGTACGTACGGCCAATGAGCGTCGTGTTGATTGTTGTTGTCATAGTTACCGATCGGCCCTATGACAGATATCTCAAATTTGTACCGACGACTCTCGGTATCTCTACCGTGAGGTTGACAAGGGCACGGTAGAGATACCGATTTTCGTCGGTACAAATTTGCGATATCTGTCATAGGGCCGATCGGTAACTATGACAACAACAATCAACACATTTTTACTATATACAAATACGTATCGAGAGCTGTCGTAACTTACCGATACCGACAACTATCGGTACGTACTTGTATATAGTAAATATGTGTTGATTGTTGTTGTCATTGTTACCGATCGGCCCTATGACAGATATCGCAAATTTGTACCGACGACTCTCGGTATCTCTACCGTGAGGTTGACAAGGGCACGGTAGAGATACCGATTTTCGTCGGTACACATTTGCGATATCTGTCATAGGGCCGATCGGTAACTATGACAACAACAATTAACACATTTTTACGATACACAAATACGTATCGAGAGCTGTCATAACTTACTGATGCCGTGTACAGAATAGCGCCCCTGGATGTGTATTGATATGAGAAATTCGATTTCATTGTCAATATGACTCCTACTTGTAAGGGCGCCATCTACATGTTTTTTTAACTCTTTTGAAGGGTACCTAATAACTTTTCGTCCGTACCTGTATTCCACAATTCAGTAAAAAAAATATATATTTCCGCCGTTTTTTACAAAACATGTTCTCTGGTAAAAATCACTACGGGCACAACCACTCAATGTCAAAAAATACACGTTGATTAGATAGTTATTAAGTTATTAGACTGAAATGATAAATTTGGAAGTGTTTTTGTACCTAGCTACACAGTTTACGATATTAATATTATCGAATGCAAATTTATCTGGTTGAAGTAAATAAAATAATCCTTATTTAAACTATATGTTGATTTGTATTTAAAGTTAAATAATACATTGTTTTATCTTATTTATGTAAATAAATATAGAGTACATTATATATTTAAAAAGCTCATAACAAGCAAATAAAGTATAAAAAATATACAGGGTGTCCCATAAAAAAAGATAAGTTTGAGTCATATTTCTAAAATTACTGCTCAACCAAACAAAAAAACTTATTGCCACTTATTGTTTACGATGTGAAAAACTGTACGGGATCAGTGGCGGCTCGTCATGGTAGGCCTCTGAGGCCGCGCCTTACCTTTAAAATGAAGGAACGATTTATTTTTTGTATCTAATTTTTTATTTAATCCCAGTATAATTTACTTTCTTACAATTCTATAACATAATAAAACTAAAAAAATATATTTTATAAATACATCCCGGTCCAGGCGCAACATAAGCCGCGTAAACCCAGCCAAAAAGAACTAGAGGTGTGAATTCTAGTTTCTTGGGAGGAACTAGTTTCTTAGTTCTAGTTCCTCCAGAGGAATAATTCCTTGAACTAGGTCTTAAGTTCACAATAGTTCCCGACTAACATTGGCATCCCCCTTGCTTGCTAATGCCTTTCGTTTTCAGTCAGAACTATTCATAGTATGATCTGTATAATTTTTATAATGTACGGAGATATAACAAGACGTGTAATTGTGTATGTTAGAAACATATAGGTAAGTTTTATTGCAGATAAAAAATTAAAAAAGAAACTCAAATCAGAGTTTAAAAAACTATATCACAAATCTATTGGAGCAAATATTACAAAAATTTTACGAAAAATTGCATTTTTCCCCACTTCATGCTTTTTGTTTTTGTCTAAAAATTCAGAATATCTACTTCGTTTTATAAGATATTTCTTAATTTTAGGGACCTAAAGTGAAACATTCCCATAAAATATTAAGAAAAAACTAAAAATAAAAAACAGTATCCAAGACAATTTTCTGTGGTAATTACGCCGGCTGTGGCAATAGACAAGGCCGAATCCATCGTCGTCGCCTTGTATTATATCTCGGATCTGCCGACTGAATAGATTCCCGTGAACTAGTCTTTTAATTAGTTCCTCTATGTCCGGATCCGATAACATACGGCTGGCACTCCTCACGCCTGCCTAGCATCAATCGCGCTGGCTGCTCCATACGTAAACTAGTCTTTTATTTAGTTCCTCTAGTTCCTTTTTCCTTTAGGTCCGGATCTGATAACATTCGGTTGGCACTCCCCACTCCTGCCTAGCATCGATCGCGCTGGCCCGATCCGTACGTAAACTAGTCTTTTTCTTTTATTTTAGTTCCTCTAGGTCAGGATCCGATAACGTACGGCTGGCACTCCCCACTCCCCACTCCTGCCAACCATCGGGCTACGCGCGCTAGCCGATCCGTCGCCGTCGCATATTATTATATATCGGTCACAGTCTCGATCCCGGAATAGGTTCTGAGGAACTAGTTCTTTGAAAAACCAGGAACTAGTTCCTTTCATTCCGGGGTCGAAATAGTTCATTGAAACTAGTCGTTCACGAACTACACACCTCTAAAAAGAACGCGACTCGACAGAGGCGAAATAATTCTAGCTTTGAAAGTTCGAATTGCCTACCTATAAAGGCCGGTTCTCATATACGCTTCGCCGCGCTTCACTGTGCTTGACTTGGCTTCGCGACAAAGCGTCAATTTACCGAGATGAATTTACATATAAGCTTCAAAACGGAGCGTCAGTTCACGTGAAACCAGCAGTGTGGCTACGAAGACGACCTGAATTGAAATGTTTAGTATAAGTAGTTCTGACAGTTCTTCATCAGATGAAGCATTTGTTTTAGCACTAGTGTGTGATTACGAACAACGGAAGGGGAATTTCACACGCTTTTTTAAACGACTGATCGAAGACGAAAACAAATTTGATAAATATTTTAGAATGTCTCCAGAGAAATTTAATTTGTTATTGGGATTAGTGGCAGAGAAATCCACAAAACAAAATAGCAGATTCCGACCTTGTATAGGACCTGAAGAACGTTAAACACGCTTGATCGAGCAACGCTGCACTTCAAATGCGCGAAAGAAAGCCCACCTACAATTGGAGGCGTCAAGTCGGTTGAAGTCAAGCGAGGCGCAGCGTAAATGAGAACTGCTACGTAAGAAAACACAAAGACTTTTTAACGCGACATTTTGACGCTCGATGAAGTCAAGCGTAGTAAAGCACGATGAAGCGTATATGAGAACCGGCCTTTAAGATCATGTGATGCCGGTGAAGCGACGGCCGACGCGACGACGGGGTACGTTTTCGATTGCAGGGTTGAGGCGCGATATTTAGCGCTTGGGTGTATTTTCATTGGTAGTTTAAATCATCTGACTATTGAATATTGAAAAATGCTCTCGATGTTGAAAAAAAGTCTCGATCTCGTATGCATGACTCAGGAAATTAAAGTGCCGGTGGCCCGAAGTGGTGAGAACAGCGTGGATGAATTGATTTGTTAATTAGTACAAGTAAATTGTTTTTAAAATACAACGCAACAAATATTGTTGAAATTTGAAAGTTAGGCCTTCCTTCGCCGATAAAATTTATTTTATTTATCTTAAAGTACCGAAGAGGAGTTGAATTTTAGTGTTTTCTTTAAAATGAATCCTATTTATAACGTTATTCTTTCTGATATTATTTCTTCCTACGAAATGAAACTGAAAAAAATGGTCAAGTGCGAATCGGACTCGCGCACGAAGGGTTCCGTACAATTCATTATACAACATTAGACACTATATTATTATAAACTTTTATTATTATTATTTATTATTAACCGATTTAGCTGAACTTTTGAATGCGCATATAATATAATTGCAATAATAAATATGTAAAAAGTAAAAATAAATATGTAAAAATTAAAAAAAGAACGATTAAAAAAAGTCGCCTTGACTAGGTTTCGAACCTGCCTGACTACGGCTCCCACGTCTTAGCAGCGTAAAGTCCTAACGCTTTAAACCACGCGGCCAGGGAGGACTTGAAAGATTCTATGTAAAATTCTTACTTAAACGATAATGTTTAGTGAAAGTACTTTTTTATTTATAAACGTTTATTTAATTCTGTTTTTAGTATTTGTTCTTATAGCGGCAACATAGATACATTATCTGTAAAAAATTCAACTGTCTAGCTGTAACGGTTCATAAGATAGGCCTTTGTGACAGACGGACAGCGAAGTCTTAGTAATAGGGTTCCCGTTTTTTAGGGTACGGAACCCTAAAAAAGGATAACGTGTCGCAAAATAATACTTGCATAGGTGAGAAA